ATATATATATATATATATATATATAATATACAATTCACGAAATATATTACTGTTAGACAATTAGTTAATGTTGTAACTATTGAACAAAATAACTAAAAATATTTTAAATGTTTATAGTTAAATTCATTTCATTTTTAACCTTTACCTTGTATCTCTTTATTTACTTTTCCATAAATCTTTAGTAAACTGTCGGAGCCCTTACGTGTCTTTTTATGTTTCTGATTCGATAGACTTCTTCCAAAACCTGATGCTAATGTCACGTCTTTCCGCCATGTTTTCTTATGATTTTTTTTCTCACGTTGCAATATTTTATAATTAATACCTTTCTTCTTCGAAGGTTTTGCTCCTAAACTTACAGCAAGTGCAACTTCTGCTTCTTCTGCTTCTGCTCCCTCGAAACCAGACATGCCAAATTTCATAACCTCGTATCCGACGCGTTTCATATCTAATTTCTGTTTCTTCGAATCATCATTTTTACTCCATTCGTTTTTGGTTACATCGAATCTAGGATTTTGCGCATCACTGTTTTCTTCACTTTTAACAATTTCTTTTTTCTTTGGTTTTTCATAATTTATCAATACAAATCTTTTTACGTCGTCCTTTTTTATTTTCGATACTCGTGTTGGGATAAAGTCTTCCATTGTAAAATACTGAAAAGATATATATATATATATATATATATATATATTAGATTTTATATAATTGCAAAATAACATAAAAATTATTTATTTCACTCGCATACGTATCATGTCATTACGTGTACTTACTAATGTATGAAATTAAAATTCATTTAAACATATAATTTATCATCCTTCGCTTACTGAAAATAACGTACAATACTTTATCATTTAATCGGTATCTCACGTACTGTTCAAGCTCTAACGTGTTGAAAGCAGCTGTTTAAAAAAGGCAAAATATCACGAAAAGAGAATCATAAATAATTAATTATACGAAGTTTAACGTTAAATACATAATTTAAATCTAATCTGATTTTAATTCATATTCAAAAAGAGTAGAAATTAAGCAATAAAAATAAGAATTCAAGTTATTTTTTTATCAGTATAACACTCGATTTGGATAGTTTTAGGGATCCTCGGTTCGAATAGTCTTAGAGATCCTCGGTTTGAATAGTTTTAGGGATACATTTAACATCAAATTTCAATTACAATTAAAAGCATTTATAGGCATATATTTATCATAGTTTTAGACAACATTTTTCAAACGATATTTTATCTATTTAAATATATTATTCCTTTCGATGTATTAATTTTTAAATTTGAAATTAAATTAAAAATTTAATAAACGTTAATTTTCTAAACGTTTTATCATCTTTCCATTACGTTATTTACTGTTACTTAAACATATATCATTTATCGTTACTTAAACACACGCAGCATACAATTAATTTATAACAAGCAAATGGCAATTCTTACAACGGCATGTTCCATGCCATCGTACTTCGTGCATCTCAAATGTACGTGTATAACGTATAAGTATTTTATTCAGTAAATAAATATTGCCCGTAATGGAAGAATATCCACCTGTTATTGTACGTTTGGCAATAAATAGAATCGATCTAAATTTAATAAAGAATGAAAATGTACAACCTCGAATTTATACTCCAGGAGAAGAAATTTCTAGCCAACCTGATTTTTTGAGGTAAATGCGTACATCTTTTCTATTTATTTAAAACGAAAAGAAAAAATTCACTTATCATATAATTTTATCAGAGGACACGGAACATACGTGGACGATGAAAACACATTACGCGCATCTGTAGCTGGTGTTTTAGAAAAAGTAAATAAACTTATATCGATAAGACCTTTAAAAGCACGTTATCAAGGTGAAATAGGAGACGTAATTGTTGGTCGCATAACCGAAGTACAGCAGAAACGATGGAAAGTTGACACAAATTCTAAACTCGATTCCGTATTACTTCTCTCTAGTGTTAATTTACCAGGTGGTGAATTGGTACGACATAAAATATGATTTGTATCGCTTCGAGTAAATACATTTTGAAAAATAACGATGTTACAATTTACAGAGAAGAAGATCAGCAGAAGATGAACAAACTATGAGAAAGTATCTCCAGGAAGGAGATCTAATTTGCGCAGAAGTACAAAGTACTTTTGTAGATGGCTCGCTCTCGTTACACGCCAGAGTCTTAAAGTATGGTAAATTGTCTCAGGGTATAATGTTAAAGGTATCACCAGCTCTTATAAAAAGAAAGAAAACTCATTTTCATAATTTGGAGAGCGGTGCAAGTTTAATATTAGGAAATAACGGTTATATATGGATCGGAGCTAATAAACAAGACAGCGATAGATCAGAAGGTGGTTTTACGCAAGATTTATCAAGAATTCCTCAAGAAAATCGCGAAGTTTGCGCACGATTACGTAATTGCATTTTAATCTTAGCACAATGTAACATCCAACTTACAGATACATCTGTTACATATGCCTATGAAGAATCTATGAAATATAAAATAAACGAACTTCTGGAACCAGAGATAACGATCGATGTGTCGTTACTAACTCATCAAAGATTGATACAACAATAACATCTTACTTTGGTCATGTATAAATAAATAAATAAATAAATAAATGGAAAAAATTTTTATCGCAAGTTATTCGAAGCAGCGATAAATTTTGAAATTAAATTTTACTCTGTTTCTTATCATCAAATTAATCGGTAGGTGACGTTCATACGATCATACATCAACAGCGTATAAAAAATACGAATATAAAAACAAAGCACCGCAGCGTGATACAAAGTGAAATTTGATATTTGCAACGATATATCGTAACGGTTTTACAAGTTACCGCAGTTTCAAAGAATCCAAAAAATAACATGTACAACGTGTACGTACAACGTGGACGTACATATCATTAACGTAGGTATCGATCAAACAAATAACATAGAAACAAGAAGTTTTCATCAAAGAAACATGGATGCATGTTTCGCTGCATTCGACAAAGACGGAGATGGGTATTTGTCTATCGTGGAATTTGAATTTATTTGTCGTGCATTATTTCGTAACGATCGTGGGAAAATTTATAACGTCGACGAGAGTCAATTGAAGGAAATGTATTCTATATTTGACTCGAATGGAGATGGAAAAATTGACAAAGAAGAATTCGAGGTATTTACGTATTACTTGATATAAATATGATATTGTCAAAATGATTGTTAAATTGTTTAAATCATAATATTTCAGATATGCTGGAATCGTTGGATCAAAATATGCACTCGTCCAAAGAGCGCGTTTTTAATCGTAGACGTACAAAATGATTTTATAACGGGCTCTTTAAATATCAAGCAGTGCGCTGCTCAGCACGATGGTTCAGAAGTGATCGAACCGATTAATCGTCTATTGGAAACCGTACAATTCGACGCAGTGTTTTATTCCCTTGATTGGCATCCTACGGATCATGTATCCTTTATCGATAACTTACACTTGAGGTATCAACACAATTGGCCTCGATTTTAATTTTAATTCATCGCACTTCGAATATTTTCCGACAGTTGGACGGACTCAACAATTTTGACGAAACGATGAAATAAATTATAAATTTTTATTCATTCGTCAAAAATTCATCGAACGCGTCCAACGTAAAGACACTTTTCGACGCAAAATTCGACGTTTCATTCGAATTTAAGAAGAAATATCAAGCATTCTATTCAAAAAATTGAAAGTGACTTTCACAGTGTCGATAAAAAAGCAAAGTAACAACGAAATAAACATCGTACGGTTTTTAGACTTTATTTTTTCTTCTTCTTACTTAATTTTTTTTCACGTAGCAAATAGTCGAAGTTAGTTATTCGAACAATCGAAGCGACTTATTCGAAGTCGTCACGTTGTGACATTCGATCCGTACATAAAATATCAGAAGCAGAATGGACTTGCAATATCCAGCAGTGGAAATAAATTATTTCTGCCTGTACACTCCGTCTCTCTAATCATATTTATAAAAGTATAAAATTGCACAGAAATCTGCAATTTGATCACGAGTTCCTCGCAGCGGAGTTAACGGAGCGCAAAGAATCAATCAACGCACCTAATTAATCGAGTAATTTACAAATTGGATATTTCATTTTTTACAGAGAAATCGACCCTAGCAGCGCAATTTCAAAAGAAGCAGCGCAAGTTTACGACACCATTACATTCAGAGGTCCACCACTGCTAAAGCAACGTCTTTGGCCTCGTCATTGCATTCAAGATTCTCGGGGTGCCGAACTTCACAAGGATCTAAAAATTGCGAACAACGCAATTAAAATATACAAAGGAACTAATCCAGAAGTAGACTCGTATTCCGTTTTTTGGGATAATAAAAAGATGATGGAAACAAGTTTGTCTTCGCAATTACAAGGAAAAGGCGCAACAGATATATATATCTGCGGATTAGCCTACGACGTTTGCGTCGGGGCTACCGCAATAGACGCACTTGCAAACGGTTACCGGACTATTTTAATCGACGATTGCAGCCGAGGAGTAGATCTCGTTGACATCGAAAAAACTAAAACTACCGTTATAGCTAACAACGGCGTAATCGTAAATTCAAGCCAAGTAAAAACAATGGTCGAGGGGAAAGATCGTCGACCAGAACTTGGATATAAGTTAGCCTTGGAAATTAAACGAAAATTAAACTTCACAGACGACGATGATCGATAATTTAATTTCCTTCTAAATTGTCAATTGGTATAAAAGCTTGTTAAACGAACGTTAGATCGACATCACAGCACGATATTTTGTAGATCAGAAATTTTGCTCCTTGTAAGAACCATACTTGTAAAATATTCCAGAATAAATTATTTTCCGCATCGAGTATCAATGTTAATTTGTTTCTTCTCAAGTTAGGGTTTTTTTCTTCTTCCAAAGTATCAAAGAATTTGAAATGATTTTGTTGCGCAGCTATTTGGATTGCCACCGGTTTCAGATTCTTGGAAATAGACCCACTCGGAATTCCGTAATTTACGACAAAGACGAACAGACTCGATCGAAACTTTTGAAACTTCGACGATACAAACTTTGAACTTAACAACAACTAACATTGAATTTACAACAAAAAATGTAACAAGCAAGACGAATCACAATTAGGAACTAAACTTCAACTTTGTTGGAAAATAACGAGAAGATATTCCAACTCCTCGAACACAAAGATACTTCCGATCGGGAAACTCCTCGCTGTACTCAAATTTGTAAAACAAGTTTGTTCGTGACAAAACATTACTCGTTAATTGATCTGATAAAAAAAATCGATCACAAATTAAGATAAATCTGATCGATCGGAGTTTATCAGAAAGCAAACGTTAAGCACTTTAGCAATAATTTTCCTACGTTAACTCGAATAAATAATCGAGTCAGCGAACGGAATTACAGACAGAATTATCTGTAATAACACGGCAGATAATCGACAAATCGTAGACAATGTTTATCGCATCACATCGTTACAATCTATATCTCCCGCGTTAAATTTTACGCACCTTATTCCTAAAATCGCTACCAAGTCACTCGGTCGCAGGTGTACGACGGTCGGTAAATTAGCGATTCACCGTACTACGAGAGGAACCGCGCAATTTGTTATCATCAATATCTTTATTTAACAACAATTATTCAATGCTATTATAATTTAACAACAAGATCGATACACTTTTACTTTGGAACGTACGATGCGATATTCGACGTTGCGTCTGTTCTCTTCTCACGTTCTTTGTCTCTACATTCTTGTACTCTTACACTCTTACGTTCTTCCGTTGTTATCCACCCTGCGACTCTCGTTCGTACGCTCGCAGCAGACTCGTCGAATCTCTGTAGGAACCACCTGCAAACATCTCCGTAGCGACACCGATCTCGATTCATCCCGCCGAGAAACAGATATCCGTTCGTCGGTATCGTTCGTTCGTTCGTA